GCGTCCGTGTAGCCTGAAGGACGACCGGCGCGGAGGGACAGCGGGAGATGAGGATGATGACGAATATGAAGATGATTATGTTGGTGGTGGTGATTCTACAGAAGCGAGAGGTCAACAAGGCAGAGGCGTCTTCTTTCACACATCTGGGAGCGAGGCGCCTGGGAGAAAGTGGGGCCTGGAGACTCTCGGGGACACAGGGAAAGTGCCCCTTTCCCACTGGGGATAACCCCTCTGTGCAGAGCCAGGCTCACGGGGAAGAGGAGCGAGACTGGGGACAGGAACAGCCAACCCCAGCCAGCCTGCAATCCTCAGTTACCGCCCACCTCTCACTGCAGTTACAGCACCTGCAATGGACATATTTAAGCAGTGTTCAGCTGCACGATGAGCTGAGTAAATGAGCCCCAGCGACGCAGGTGAAGTTCTGGATGAGGGGTACGGACTGGAGGACACAATGTGCCAGTCCTGGGCGAAGGCATCAGAGAAAAGGGCTTTTCTCCTTCTCTTAATGTTTGAACAACACGTGTAGAAGACACAGCGCTGTCGGTTCCTCACAGAGACACACCCAGAAGCTACACTGGACCTGTAGCGGGTCTAGCTTTTGAAAGCTTAAAATGGACATTTAAAACAGATGATTTTTAAAAATTTAGAAACACTGCAAGTAGATATATTGACCTAATCATATGTAGTACAGTATTACTTGCATTCTGTAAATAAGCCAGTATTATCTGAGACCATGGCTGTCCTGCTTTACTTACAGCACACACTGGGTCATGGTTAAACATGACTACATCTGACTTGTGATGAGAGTCATCTTATTGCCAAAACATATCGGCTGAACAGCTAAGAATATAAAACAAATAGAACCTGTTTGGATAGGAGAGAGATGCCTGTGTGCACAATGTCTTCCTTGCAAACCACAATAGAACACATCCACTTAGAAACCTGCATTGAGTACAGTCTCTCTGAGCTGAATACAGGCTTCAGTGCTTCTGAATCAGAAGTGGAGACAACGAGCTGCAACCACATGTGATCCACATAACCCACTTCCTCCTGCTGGCATGATACAAGTGGCACGACACCAACAGACAGGCCGTAGCACCGTGCACCCTCGTCAAAACTGTAACATCAGGCAGCCCTTTATAAAGGTCTGCTCCTATTTTATTTGGACTAGGAGATTTTGGAATTCTATTTGATCGGGAAAGTGAAATGTGAAATTCCCACTTTCTTTAAATCCGTCTCCGGTTGAACTGCCTTTGACACACACCCATGTTCAGTGTACACTTGTGTAAACATTTGGAATGCAAGTTTTCTAGATGGACAAACAGGTCTATGGCCTGAATAGAAATGTGAACTAGTAAAAGACACTGTTTTTTTTAAGACACACGTAGGATAAATATTGTTCTCAGACATTGCAGATGGGGATGGAAATCTTTGCAAGACTAAATATGTTAAATCATTTACAGATTCTGGCTTCCAGTGAGCTGTGGAACAGCTTAGTCACACACAGCTCCCTGCATCTCAAAACAGCTTGTGCACTGCTAGCTTCCCCAAGCATGCACCCCCTGCACAGAAATAAAAATTATCCTTAAATGAACTTAAGAAGTAGAGGGATAAACCCACATGTGGTGTTACACCCCCTGACCTTGCAAATAAAAGGGTTTTAAAATCCAGCCATTACCACACAAAAGGAGCTGTGTGAATCAATGAAATGGAAGAAAATAATTGGACGTTTAGCTGTGGAACATGCAACAGGGTGAACTCCTGCAGCAAATGTGAACTTGTTTATCAAGTCACACTATCCCTGGGTGTCAGAACTATCAGAAGTGTTCGGAGCAGCATCACAGAACAATGGAAAGAGAAAAAATGCTGCTCCTCACCCACCAATAAACCTCCAGGCTTCACAGGCTGCAGAGGAGAGCTGCTCAGTGTCTGAGTCACACCGATACTGGGGTACCCCGGCGTCCCTGCCCTGCGCTGGCTGTGGTCCCTATTACTCAGCCTGCCAGCCCATACCACATCCTGACAATGAGCACACGCACACTGAGAAGGGGTCGACTCCTCCCGATACCGTCTGTGCTCAACACAGCGGCCAATAGCGACACGAAGGATGACGTTCGGTCATATTTACAGCTCAAAAGCTTTAAGCATAAAGTACTCCAGCACTTCCCTGTCCCAATCATGAGAAAGTCTCTGACTAGGAGCATTTATTTTCATAGAAAGTTTTTTTGTTGTTTTTGTTAAAGACAAGCAGCCCTGCTAACATTGTCAGCTTTGTCATGGGTTTGGAGACTTAGTGATAATTTCAGACTCTTATGTCTGTACTGTGAAGTACTGTGCCTAGAAAAATAACCTAATAAAAAAATAATTAAATAATTATAACAGTGAGATTAATATGGTGCTTTTCATCCCAAAGGGTCCCAAAGTGCTTTCCATGCGAGTGGTACGATGTTGTACCCTTGAGCAAGGTACTTCACTTCAGTGACTCCAGTAAAACACCTGGCCGGGATTAATGGGGGCAAATGCAATTGACTTTGACTTGAGCCAGAAGCATCAGCCAAAAAAATGCATCATATATATATAGATTGCTTGGACAATTAAAGCAGGCAAGATTGCACAAGTTCAGAGTGGAATTAAGCCAGGACACCCGAGTTAAAACAGTGCCACTGAGTCTTTAATGACCAAGACATTGGGACCTCATTTAACATCTCATTTGAAAGACAAAACAGTGTCCCTCGTCACCATACTGGGGCATCGGCTTGGAAACTGTGATCCAGAGGGAATAGTGCCACCTACAGGGCCACCAAGACCTTAGGCGTAACTTGTAGCGTCCTAGTGTGAAAACATCCTACTATGAGGAGCTCTAGCTGAATTTGAAAAAACAAAATCCCAAATCTTAGAATTCCTAAAGGAATTGTCACTTTACTGGACTAGATGCATTTCATGCTTAAAAATAATAAGCAGAATTATTGCCATAATTTTCTACTTAAAAAAAATGCCGGCAACACATACCATTTAGATATAGGCCTGTACTTTCACCCCTCATTACCGACTGAACGTGTCTGAAATACTGTGATTAATCAACGAGAGAAGTCTTGTTTTCAAATGGTTGTGACCGACCTCAAAGGCATTTCTGCCTCCGCCCACGGATGGATGGATAAATATTTCAGCGTTTGTGCCTCTAGCGCGGGCAGGACCCCAGCTTTCTCAATCGCCGGCAGAGCCAGCAGCACATTCTTGCCTCACTGTGGAAGCCAGAGACAAAAGCGTTGCTTAACTCTCTAAAAGCAACGGGCGGTTGACTTGACAGTGGGGGAAAACCGAACCACACCGTCTGCGATTGGCTGGAGCGTTGACATCACACGACAGACTTGAACAGAGCATCACCAGCCTCAGTCAGTAGGAAGAAGCCCAGGGAACAGCAGAGGTCTGTCCAGCTGCAGGCACGCTTTCAGCAGCAGAGAACAGTGCAGCTGACCCTCACCTGTTAAATGGGAAAAAGGTTACTTGTTGGCAGCAGGGGGACTGTAAAACTCCATTGACTGCAATGGCGGAGATGAAAACAGTGATGCCAAATCAGCCATTTCAATAAAAACCACGAACAGCTTCAGGCTGCCAACGTTTGGACTGCTGCACCTCCTATATGTAAGATCGATATTGCAGGAAGTCAATGTTACTGTACAAATCTGATGCAAGGTTTGATCTTTCTTCCCCACATGGCTTGAAGGCTCCAATATCTGATCCCCAAAAATAAAGCCGAAACTTTGCCTCTCTCCTGTTTTTGGAGTGGAATTAATCCCTGCTTGTTCCTCTGCAGCCAGCGCATGTTGAGAAAGATCCCCGCTGCAGGATCAGTTTCGTTGCAGTTTTAAAAAAGCGCTGCCCTACAGGGAATCATGTAGAGCACATTGCTTCATATGTACTGCGAGTATTGACTTTCACATTTTGTATAGCTTTGAACTTCCTTCAGGTCTTCCACTTGGGAACGGCACTGAATTGATGTCAGATGCCAGTGGTCAAGTCCATCAACTCAATGGGAGCTTCCAAGTCGAAATTAAGTCGTTTAATTAAAGACTTTGATTTTAATTTAAGATGGGTGAAACAGAAACAATTTTACTAATTTATGATTTTACCATTTATGTGGCTCAGAAGACTGGTGTACCCACCAGTAAACGCTAATAAAAAAAGATCAGAGAACAGCTTATACAACACGAAAACGCCATTTATTTAACTTTTAAAAAAACATTAAATTACTTCACATCATTGAAATCTTTTTAAATTACTTCACTTTAGAAAAATCAGGCATCCCCTGGATGGACAGGCACTAGGGCTCACAGATGTACACTCAGGCACAGAAGCAGCCGCAGGGCGGGCAGGTTAAAACCTCAGAGCTCCGAGAGGAAACACACACTGCACAACAACACTGACGGTGGCCTAATCACGCATGATTATTTCAAACCAGTATTTCTAGTCAGATTCACCCCCCGCCATTTTAAAACTTTAATTGCCGTTTCTTGGCGGCGATTCCAGTGAAATCCGGAATCTCCGAAGGCCCTCATGCCTCTGCGCAGCACAGCGAGCCCCTGTTCCTGCACGGTGACAGAGTCCAGGACGGCCTCACCGAGCTGTTCATCCTCCATCACGCTACAGGGGCTCTGCAGAGGCTGACAGGAGAGGCGCGCCCCTCGCAGACATCACCGCAGGCCTGCAAGCACCCAGGAAGTGGCAGACGACTAGTCCTGCCCCTGAACCCAGCGTGCGGCTGTCTCATGACACAGCCCCGACTCGAACCTGCGATGTCGGGATCACAGGTCACAGACGTCAACCTGAGCTCGTGGCAAGCTTCTTTTACCAGCTGGGCGGCTGAGGAGCCCCTCTTCCACCCATTGTGATTCAAGTAATGTGCTTCAGCACAAATCCAGGCCTGACAGCTTCCAGGAGCTCCTCTCACACACCCAAACCACATGCCAGTAAAGCGAGGCTTATCAAGGACAGCACTGAGCTCCAGGCATGAGGAATTTTTATTTTTGCCAGTTCACACAGCTAAAAAGTTGAAATCCGTCCTCCGGTGCGGGGCTGACTGTACCGCGGTGAGCAGAGACAGGAGTCAGGAGAAAGACGGCTGAGTTTCTGAAGACCTGAGACGGAGCTCATCTGAAGTCTCATTTAGGGATTTCTGAAAATGAAACAGAGGAAATCATTGTAGACTTTAAATTCTGCTGCCTGGTCACTTCTGCCCTGGGACTTTGCGTCACTCAGCTGGGAATTCGAAAGTTGCAAGGCCAATAATGCACAATGGCGAAGAAGATGGAACACCGCTGTTTTGTGAGTGGAACACGTGGCATTACAGATCGGAGCCCGGGAAACGGAGAACTGCAATCGACTGAAGAGGAAACCTGGCTCACCGGACGCGCGCTGGCTGGGTGGAGCTCTGGGCCGGCGCCTGCTGCCTGGCCCGTGGAGGCCTCGCTCAGGGCGATCTGCTGGTTGACCAGCTGCAGCATCCCGCACAGCGTGCCCAAGCCGGGCTTCTCCGGCTCTGCGCAGGAGGAGCTCAGGGCGCTGTCGTCGTTCACCGCGTAGGTGAGGGGGTTGAAGGAGGATTCGGAGGAAGCGCTGGTCTCGCCCGGGCCTTGCCACGCCTGGTCATGAGGCCCCGCCAGCGCTCCTGCGAGCTGGGCGCTCTCCAGCCCGTCCCCCCGGAAGCCCAGCGAGTCGGCGTCTGGCCAGCGAGGAGAGTCTGGGACACTGACGGACCGGTGCAGGTCCCTGTAGGCTGGCAGAGTGTGGAGGAAGTGGAATACAGAGTCCCGTTCCCAGCTGGCACTACCAGCAGGGGGCAGCGCGGAGCACAACGAGGTGTTCTGCAGCTCCATTGCTCTCTCCTGGCTGGAGATCCTTGCCTGAAGTCTTGCTATTTCTGCATCCTGGGACCACAACAGAGGATTCAGATGCCATATGAGCCATGTATTTAAAAGGGTTTACAAAAGCTTAGAGATGAAATTTAGGAGGACAGTGGAAGCGTCACACAGCCTGAATGAGGATGAAGTCAGGCTGGTTGCTTTGATCTGGCTTCAATAAGGATCTGTATACCAACACAGTAAACCAGGAGTTTAAGTTGAAATGTAAAGCACGAAAGGCATCTTCAACAGTAATTCCAAGGAAAAGTCATTATCAGTTTCATTTTATCTATCCGCTTCACGAAATGTTAGCTATGACCCGCACGTGATCAATTCCAACATGCCCACATTTGAATATTTGAGTTGCAAACACTGACACTCATGTAACAGCTGAAAAGAAATGCGGGAAACTCCGTTTCGAGACGGAGGCCGCTGAATTGGACTTCTGAGTTGGCACAAGCCATGACTATCGCGCGCAGGTCTGAGCCTGAGCAGCACGGTGGCAGTCTGCTTCTGCACACCCACCTTGATGAGAAGAGCTTCCCTCTCTGCTTGGGCCTCCTGGTCCCGGGCGGCCAGCTCCGCCTGCAGGCCGGCGATGTTGCCCTGGGCCTCCGCCAGCTCGGCGCCCATCTGCTGCAGGCGCCCGCCCAGGCGGTCCTGGGAGCTCTTCAGAGTGCTGGAGACGGAGCCAGTGGTCTGCAGCAGCTGCTCCCGGCTCTCCCGCAGCGCGGACAGCTGCAGGGGCACCACAGAAGGATCGGCTCTCACGCTTACCCAGGAGACTCTGAACACAGTCCACCTGCACTGCTGCCTCTTAATTCTTCACCAGAATGACAACATCTACAGTAGAGAAGGACTCAACTCGCAACGATAAAGAAATGTCATTTAATGAATTCTGACACAAAGGGCCGCACATTTCTTGGACAGCAACCACTGCCTGGAAAGAACGGATTCATATCGATTCTAGTCTATTGAAATTTTTTTTGCTTAACCAGGCCTTTGGTATGTTGAAAAGCCTTGGAAGGATACATAACCTCATTAAAAAAACATGAGAAAGCCATCCTGTAAACAGAACAGCATTTACCAATTGCTTTCTCAATTCCGGGAATTTCTGAGAAGAAAAACATCAGTACAGCGGAGGACAGCTGAATGAGCCTTGACAGATCTACATTATGTGTTTGCAGAAGAAATATGATACACAATGTCTTGGAAAACTTTCAAAAAGGTTTTAATGGGCAGCCTTAACTGAAACTGTAGCACTAGCTCAACTCAGTCATAACACTCATTCCAGCCAAAGCTCTTTGAACGAGCATCCTGCGGCACAATATCTGGGCTTTTCTAGCTTGCAGTGACTGAGACCAAATTAAATTTTAAAAGACTCATGCAATTACAGTCAGCAGTGTTCTGCAGAGGAGGCCCCTGCGTCTCCCCTGGGTGAGTGTGCAGGACATTACTGGGTGACGTCACGATGAAGCAAAAGGCACTTAGTGCTGAGATCTGCTTCATACTCAGGCATGTGAAAGATAATTCACTGAAACACCGCTCCAACCTTGTGCTACACCCGCTAAACTTCACACATTCTTCATCGTTTTGGAAAACGCTTAGCTAAATATTTTGTTTATGCAGCTTAGAGGTTTAGGATTTGTGGTTGCTTTCACTTCAAATGAACACCATGCTTATTAACATAATTAGCAATGACCAATTCAAGTCAAGTGGGAAAGATGTTCAGGAAATTAAATTATTTTTCTGAGTGTGCAATGCTGCAGCTGAGGAGAAGTCACAAAATGGTTGTGTCAGCTCTTTAATTTGAACCAGATCAGGAAAATCTACAGATCACAAAAACAGATTGCAAAATGAAAGCCCCAAAACGTGCAGTTTTGCAGGCCATTATGTGTGTTCCTCTTTTGGGTTGTTTCTTTTTGTTTTACCACAAACTCCGGTTTTGGCAAAGTTCGAATTAGGGTTTGCACGCAGTGTCTGGTCAAGCCAGCGATGCTGCAGCGACACGAGACGGCAGCTGAAGGCTCATCCAGTTGGTGCAGAGAGAAAGGAAGGAGGTTACTGCTTCCTGCTTCCAGCCACCCCTTCTCCCTTTCTGCAGCACAATGTGTCCACATGACTGCTTCTGCTGCCAAACATAAACCTTCACACCGAGCCACAGATAATGAGACAGCGGTCGAGCTTGAACTTCGGCAATCATGCGTCACAATTCTAAGATGTACTGCAGCCAAAACCAGGGCCTCCACAGCCCGGGGTCCGGTTACCTCTGCCCGATGGGCCTGCTTTATGTCCTCCATCTCCTCCTGCTGTGCCTTCACCCTGGCCTGCAGCCTCTCCTCTGCCTGGGCAGCTCTGGCCTGAGCTGCGCCCAGCTCTTCGGCCAGCCGGTTGGCACGAGCCTCCTGCACAGGAAGAGCCAGCACCGGAGATGATGCAGGTTACTGTCAAGCCAGCGACCCATCCACATGTACGCAGACACACACAAGCAAGTCTGGCTGGATGACACCATGAAATAAGGTCACTAGAGCAGATGTGATATGTATAGAAACTAGATGTAAATAAGATGTACACTTTTAAACAGCAGGGGCCATTCAATCACTGAATCAGCAGATAATCAGAAAATCTTAAGGCTCTAGAAAATATTCAATAATGCTCCTTAAGAGAAATGATTGATAATGAGAGCACAAGCAGTAATCAGCCTGAATTTCTCTGACAAACAGGTAAAGCTCTCTGCTGTAAATCTGGAGTCTTCTGCTACTGCTCATCTGTTCCACAGAATGAGTGCTTACTAGCCACCAAACAGGCAGGACCGACTGGCTGGCTGGCTGGCTGGCTGGCTGGCTGGCTGGCTGGCTCTAGTGTCTCTTGTGCGTGACTGGGATCCCAAGGCATGCTGGGAGTCCCGCTCTTCCATCGTCAGTGCCAGCAGAGCCCAGACTGGTGGGGGCGGGGTTACCTTCTCGTGGGCGAGCTGCGCACTGAGGGCGAGCTCGCGGGCCAGCCGGTCAGTCTGCTCCTGCGACTCCTGGAGATCCTGGACGGCGCGCTGCAGCCTCTCTCTGCACAGCCTGACCTGCTGACCTTGGGCAAGGGCCTCCTGCCGGGGACAGAGCACATCAGCCACAGCACTGCCCCAGTCCACTAGTCCAACACACAGCGAGCTCCTGGATCTGCAGCGCCCTTGGAACTCGCAAAAGGCACATGTTCCTTCCAAGATGAAATCATCAGACATGTGTTTCGGAAATAAAAGTTGAGGATTATTTGTGAAAGTAGTGTAGTTCAAATTTTTATCGGAATTTTCAATTTGAGCAACTGACTTGCTCCTAGAGCAAAAACAAGCTAGTGCTTTCTTTACCTGTATTACAAGTAATTTGAAGTTAATTCTTTAAACTCCAAAAACTGCGTGTGCTTCTCATTGTGTACTCAAGGTGTACCACACAGCTCAAAGGTATGTTTGAGAAGGCTAGTTAAAAATATGCTATAAGTATTAAAAACCTGACTCTCTGTGGCAACACCAAACTAAAAAAAAGGCACCCAAAGTAGTTGAACTGAGGTCAAACTACACACAACAAATGGAGGATGTTTTTGTTTACATCAGGAACAGTTTCTCGTATAAACCTTATCGTAATAGACTAAACACAAAGGAAAAAACCCTGACAAATTTGCTCTATAAAAAACTGTCCCTGCCCAGTTATTCTCAGTGTCCCTGTTGACATTCACAACTGATGTTTAAACTCTGGTTTCTGCTTGAGTGGAAGTCCTGTCACACTCGGGGTTTTCACAGCTTCACGGCCTCTTTCGTCGCCTTTCACCCAGATGTCAAACGGACCGAGGACATGGTCAGTCTCCTTCTGCTCGTTAAGCTTTCTGCTTGGGTGTTTTGTTTTGTAAGACAAGGAAAACATGAAAATCACGAAAGCCCCTACTTCAAAATACAAAATAGTTCACTTGAATCTGGCCAAAAAGCTTTTTTTTGGATGGTCAGATTTAGGAATTCAAGACACATCCAGGAAGTGATGTCAGCTTAGTGATTTAGCACAATATGTATTTTCCACTTACATTAGTGGTGCATTTATGTTTTTTTAAATGTACTTGAAAGAGCTGGAAGAACTTGCACAAGGACCTGGACAGCACTGTGGAGCTGGATAAGGTTGTGGGTTCAAACCTCAGCTGGGACACTAGTGCTGCCCCCCGAGTGAGACTGCTTCACTAAAATGCAAACTCTATAAAAGATTAACAATAATAACTGAATGCAAGTTTCCTAAAGAGATGCCAGCATCTCCATGGATGACTTGAAATCACGCCTTCTGGCTGAACACTTGTATTTCCAATTTTGTTCTCTCAATACCCAGCTGGGAGCAGTAACCTGACACCCCTGGACACTGTGCCCTGTATTCACTCAACTACAGCCCAAGAAAAATAAACTTCTTCTCGGACTTGGAAATACAAACAAAAACTAAGCTCGAGTTACAGGAAATGAAAAAAGAAAAAGGTCTCCAGCTATATTTCCCTCAGCATTGCCAGATATGGCGACGTGTATTAGGAGATCATAGGAGAGGAGAAAGCCCGCCCTCTCCGCCAGAGAAAATGCCCAGGCCACTCCAGGCTTGTCACCCCTCCGCGCACAGCAGGCCGGGACAAGGACAGAAACACAGCATCAGAGCTGAACACACCGGCCCAGGAAACACAAGGCCCTCCACAGACAAGCCACATGCCCCAGAAGATTACAGCAGCCTAGACCACAGGCTCTGCACAACTGCTCAGCCATGGGAGATGCCAAGCAGCACAACTGGGAATCAGGAATTCCAGGCTGTTTCAGCTCTTCCAATACGCGTTCCAGCTTCCTGCTAGTGCTCTGTGCTCAGGTCCTCGTGCACAGCCTGGAAATCTTTGGCAACAGAGAGCGGAGATGCCCGATCATCTGTCCCGTTTAAGACCCTGCAAAGGAAGAGGCAGTCGTACAGTACCTTCTCAGAGTCCTCCTTCTCCTGCAGCTGTGTCTTTGCCAGCTCCAGTCTCTCGCTAAGGAAGTGCACCTGGTGAGTTAGGAAACAGACAGCCTGCATGAAGATTAAAGGAAGGAGGGAGTGGATCACCTGCTCCCGGTTTGCAAGGAAAATGAGAAAAAAAAAATCTCCAGATTCAGTTATAGACAAAATTGGTTTTCAAGACTAGATCCGTTGGTTTAGATGACACAGCGCTATAGGAGGAATTCCAATTAATTACGTCTTTCAAATCCAATTCCAATTATTGTTTTGGAAAACAGAAGCTCATACAGGCAATGGTCTGCTGGTGTCGCCCCTGTCCCTGATGCTCTGCGGTACGGCTGACATCAGAGGCTCTTCATGAACAGTCATGGGCTGGTGGGAAGAGAGGTTGCTCACTGATCACCGGCACTGCTTCTGACTTTCACATAGCTCAAGGCGTTCTGCTGGTAAAGGCGATCACCCAAGTGCAGGTGGAGCTCTATGATGGCAGGTTCGAGCCTGGTTCATGCCACTGGACACTGGGATCCCCAAGCAGGGACGTGCAGGGCAGGATTGGTCAGGCACCACAGCTCCCTTCCAATCAGCACTGAGCCTCTGGACGCAGGGCTGTGCTGCCTGTGGTGTACTGAGGGACAGGTGGCTTGCAGGCAGGTGCGTCAGGGGACTTTCCTCTGGTGTATGGAGACGGGGAGTTTGTAGTTCAAAACGAGAATGCCGCAAGAAGAAGGGACTAACATAAAAGCTTTCCTAATGGAGGCAAACTAAAGACAAAGGGCTGCACTGCGACAGGGACACACTGGCCTGGAGCACAGACACCACTGACAGGACCGCTGCTTCCTGGTCTCGGGCTACACACTTCTGCCCGGGCAGCAGCGATCACAGCACAACGCCCGCAGACTGCAGACACATCTCCTCACTGCGCGGAGGAGGCAGTCATGAAATGAAGTGTGGAATTCCTCCTTCACTGGGCTGTAATTACTTCTTGGAAACCGGGGCTGTTGACACCGTAACACCGTAATTCGGAGGATAATCCTGTAAAATGGTAGTGTCTTCAGTGAATCGTGGGCGGCAGCTGTCAAAACAGGACTCATACGGGGGGGGGGGGGGGGATGCCGTCTCTGAACTGTCTTAAAAGAACGCTGCGGGAAATTAAAAAGACGATCTATTTATGTCATTAAAAATCTCAACTAGCCTGGTTTAGAAAAACACACAGTTATCTCTGAAGGCACTGCTGAAGCCTGTGAAGGCTGAGAGAGGCCACCTAGTGTTGTTCTGTGATCATTTCTATGTGGATTTCTATGTTAAAAAGATCCTGTGCCAAAAGAAAGATGCACACACTAGAGGAAGAGCTAAATTATTCACTGGAAACGGAGCTCAGTGCCAAACTGCTGGGGTCTGGCTGGCTGAAGACATGCTTCTTGCTTATCGGTAACAATACAGCAATCCAGTCATTCCAAAACAAGCCTCTTGACCTCAATATGGGAGAATGTTAATTTGTATGGGAACTAATAAGAACCTCCTCTTCCATCTGGAAAGAAATCCTCATCCTTTTTGCTGTGGTTGTTGCTTTTAAAAAAATGTCAACCGAAACTCAGGCCCTGCTCTCAGATGACCCTCAGCTTTGTGAAGGGAATCCAAGCACTCCTAGTAAGCAGGCTGTAACCAGAAATGAAATGGCTCAAATCAAAAGCTCTCAGTGTGTCAAGTAAAAGACAGCAGAAAATAAACGTGCTTACAGAAAACCGGAAGAGAGCCACTCGCCTGTTTTTCACGCTCCTTGACTTCCTGTTGGGATTTCTCCAAAGCCCCTTCCAGCCTGGATATCTTCTGCTCCATCTCCGACTTGTGCTCTCGCACCGTCACCTCTAACTGGCTCAGCTGCAAAGGGAAAGAGCAGATCGGCACAGCTTCCCGGTGGTGAGCAGGCTGAAATGCATCAGTGCCTGAAACATCTTTATCCCTCCTGGACAAATACAAGGGCTCCTTGCTACATCTTAGCGTATGGAGTCGTCAACCAAGCATGTGATTATCTAACACCTATGGAGCTATTCGCATCCACCTTTGTGTAATGATCTCTTGATGCTCATGCTAAACTGTATTTTATGGGATTTTTAGATGCAGTTCAGGGACCCCATTCAGCCACCATACCTTCAGCTGAATGGCACTGATCTCTCTGCATTACTTCATTGGGATTCTCATTCATAATAAGGGCACTTTGTTTTCAGCATAGGTATTTTAAGCACAAGTGACATCCCTTTAAACTTGATCACAAAACTATTAAACAGACAAACACACAACGTTTCCACTCTCCACAGAGGGTCTTGCCTCGTTCATTTTTTAAAACACAGTTCACGTTAGTTTTGAAGCGGGGATTTTGGCCACATGTCTAGTAGAAATTCTGCTCCCAATTCAGTCCTCCCCCAGCTGCATAAATAAAGTCACTCAGGTATCAGCCAAAAGCACCGATAATAAGAGGCGCCTGAACTTTGTAAAAGCAGGTCCTGGCATGCCACTCCTGCCATAATGATGGGTTATTTATTGTAAGCAACATGGGTTTATCTGAGAGGATACACAGACACTTGTGTTGGCCTTTCTTCCACTGACAATGACTGTGGTATATTCCTGCGGTACCTGGCTGGCTCTCTGCTGCAGCTCCCACTGTCTGTCCTTCAGGGCTGTGTCCATGTCCAGAAGCTCATTGTTCCGATCATCCAGCTCCTTCTTGCACTCCCTGCAAAGAGAGCGAACCTCCTGTCAGGAGCGCTTTATGCCAATTTGAGCCCCATCTCACAGGGAGCATTGCAGATTACGCACAGCATGGGTGTCCCTCAGTCAGTGCTACTGAGAACTGCTGAAGAGTCCCCACTTTGCAGAGCTGCTCTTAAAAAGACTCTTAAATATTTTATTTGACAGAAATGCTTATCATTTAATTGTATTTTAGGCATATAAAACAAAGCAGACAGATCAAAGGACAAAGGTGGCAAGAAATTCTAAGCAATTTTCTCATGGGAACGAGAGAAACCAGTTTTGGGCAGAGAGACATTCAGTTACAAAATCCATAAAAGTATTCGGGTGGAGATGTTGAATTGTTCCCTCAGGTGATACAGCTCTTATCCTTCGACAAATGTGATGCTGGGGCTCATCGAATACAGGCTTTTGTGTCCCAGAAGTTGCCTCGCAGGACCTGGCACTACAGCCCTCCTCTGGAATCACGGAAGGGGAGAAATGGGACAGACTCTGCTTATGTTTCTGGGGACACTGTGCAAGGTCCCCGCCTCTCTCAAGTCAGTTGGGCTGGACGACAAGCGAGAACTCAAAACACAGAGCTCAAAACAGCTGAGACAGCCAAAGGCAGGTGCCAGGAGCGTGCTTCCATGGGGGAAACAGAAAAGAGAGAAGGCTCTTCAGCTGTACAACGCAGACATCACCCTCGGAGAGCATGCTCAAAGTGGGCCAAGCTTTCACTGGCCGGAAAGACAGGCGGCAGTCGTGATCAGAGGACCCCAGCTGATCGTCTCTGCCTGCTGTGTGGAGGGGCTGAGAAAGGTGTCATTTGGACACTGCACTGCGGAGAGCTGGAGGGCTGTCAGTGCTTGGAAGGATCTCTATAGTTCATCCTGTTAGTGAGGCGCAGCGCACAGCTCTGCAGGCTTGGGGAGATCAGAGAAAGGGGGAGCTGTGGGGCATCAGGGCCGGTCTACAGCTCCCTGTGTTAAAATAACACTGTGCAGGGGAGTTAAGGGAATGACCTGAGGTGATCAGTTATACTCCTGATCACACAGCCATGGACAGGTGTTCCTGGGCCTGTTTCTATAATTGAGCTCACTGAACAGGACAGGTGAGGGTTTCGATATTGATATGCATGTATGAAACAATGCTGTAGAGGTGTGCATATCTTCATGGGAGTATTATTTATTGAATGTTTTAGGTTGATATGCAGGGAAGAAGACTTTATTAAGCCTTTCAGTCACTAGGCCAGATGTTTCATGAATAAAGGGATTGCTATGATAGATGACATGAAACCAATTCTAGCCCAGGGCATGGACAGTGGGTGTTTTATTTTAACTGATGAGCATCTAAACTACAAAAAAAGTTAATAAGCAAAGGTAATATTGACCAACTAAGTCTAATAAAGTATTCAGGCATTAAATAATCAATTTTTTCCCCCAAAAACAAATGAAAATTTCCTCCTTCATAGCCATAAATAATCACTACTAAACCACATTCATATGACATTTGAAAGACACGCAAAAAACTACTTTTCTAAACAAAATAAACAGTTTATGTAAAACTGTTTTGCGATAAGGCAGTTCATCTTTAATAATACAAACACAGTATAATCTTATGTTACCATTCTTTCTAAAGCCTCTGTTACAATTTTTTTTTACCCCCATAAAACTTTAAATTGCACAGGAGGCAAGAGCTGGAACTGTCAGACTGACTGATTCTTTTCTACCAGAAACACGGCCACAACCCCCAGCTCAAAAAATAACACAACTGTGTGTTAAAAAACTTCAATTCTTCCAAAATGTGATACTTGTACATTCAATACGGACTGAAGATGTGCGATTGCCGTCACTTGACGAACTACACTTTGTAAGAGCTTATGCTGGTTTAGGCATTTTCAGCTTTCTTCTCTGTTAGTCTGCATTGGTTTAGAATACAAGTATATTCTGAGAAATACGCAGTAAGCAGATCCTTAAGTGAAACACCGCTAAGTCTTTCCTATAAAGAAAGCATCCGAAATTCCCCGTTTTGTGCATCACAGCCTCAAATGTGCGGTTTCTGGGTCACAATCAGGAACTCGGTTCCAGCTTTCTGTGTCAGAAACTGTCACAGGGCGTAGACTCATTCCGAACTTAGCAGAACGGAGGAAAAAAACTGAAACAGGCCATTATCCGAATATTAAAAATATTTCACAGACCATTAAGGAAGCAAAGCAAAGCGATGACAATTCACAGCAGCACGCAAAACGGACAATAAATAATATTTTTCAGAGCTTTACATCAGGAGGCCCACGATGATGTTTATCAAACAGAACAGACACGTCCCTAAAGAGTCCTTCCCTGCAGGCGGCTCTCCTCATCGGCGAAGTGTCCGAGCCCAGCACGAACCCCACGGGATCGGCCGCGCAGCTCCTGCCGGACGCGAGGGGTGGGCTCGGGCGCGATGTCCGGGGTCCGGGGGCAGGCGGGCAGGCGGGCAGCGTGCGAGTGACAGGGCGGGGGGCGCGGACCGCGGGACCCCTGCCTCACTCACCTGAGCTCGCCGGCCAGCTTGTCGATGAAGGCCTCCTTCTCCTCGGCGGAGAGCTGCGTCTTCTGCAGCACGTCGCGCAGCTCCTGCAGGTGGCCCAGCGTATCCGTCAGCTCGCCCCGCACCGACTGCAGCTGGCTCTCCAGGAGCTGCGTGCGCTGCAGGGAGTTGCGCCTGTCCGCCTCGCTGCGGTGGAGCTTCTCCTCCAGGTCCATCACTGCACGACACAAAGAACAGCACCCTGACTCCCGCGCCCTGCCTCACGGCCCACGCACACCGCCCTCTCCACACGCTCCACTGGCGCGAGGCCTGCCCAGCCAAACACCGTCCTGCCGTGGGCTTCAGAGCGGCAGATGAAGATAAAAGGCTAAAGAAGACCGAGCTGCAGGACTACAAAATGTGCTGCAACTGCTTCCTCATCTGAGGAAGGCTGACTGCAGGTGAAGTGCAACGGCCCACGCACTGGAGTCTGGGCACTTCATGCACCGAGACTTCGTTTTTAAAGCCCTCTCTCGTGAGCTGACAATAAAAGGTCGAGCTGAAAAAAAGAGCTATAACTCTGCGTGTGGCGCAGGGTGGAAAACCTGAATCCTGCACAGGCTCCCGGCAAGCCGTACCCAGGTCCGACTTCTTCTCCAGCTGCCCCTGCGTCTCCTGCAGGGTGAGCTCCAGCTGGCTGAGCTGCGAGGCCTTGCTGCTGCTGTCTCTGCGCAGCCTGAGCAGCTCCTTCTCCGTCTCCGTCAGCTCCGCCCGGCACCCGGCCAGCTCCATGGTCAGCCGCCTGCGAGAAGACCGCACACACACACACGAGCTCAGGGCACAGGTCTACAGGTCCGCTGCCCTTCCTCTGGCTGGGCCGGCGACAGGCGGGCTCCTTATATAGCCCCCGTGCGTGCGCCGAACAAGAGGAGAACAGTCCTCGTGAGGCGGGATGGCCTGCAGAGTCATGAGATCTGCTCTCAGAACAGCCTGCGGCAAGATGACATTTTACACTTCGTCCCAGAAAACTCCAGTAAACACTGTAAAAAAACAGCACAAGCTGAAAGAACCCACAGTTTAAAAAAATATATATATATTATTGTAGGCTATCAGTATGATTTGTTTTCTTTTACGAGTTCAGCACGGTTTTTGCTTTCTTTAGGACAGAGGTCTCCAACAAGGTCTCCTTGTAGTGTCAAGGCCTAATTGCGATTTTTTTGGGTTCACAGAATTCTTTACCTACATATTGAGCTAAAGCAGCTGTCAACATTCCCAGACAGGACTTGAACTTCACGTGATTCCTGCACTTCCAGACGTAATGTGTTGGGAATATGCTAGAAACACACCAGGCCTTACTCTGCTCAGTGTTCAGTGTTCAGTGTTCAGTGTTCAGTGTTCAGTGTTCAGTGTTCAGTGTTCAGTGTTCAGTGTTCAGTGTTCAGTGTTCAAGCATTCCTAGAAAGCAAAGTCTAAACCTTCTTTCCTCTTCAAAAAAAGCAGACAATGAGCAAGGTGTGTTCATTTTCATGACTAATTGAACACACCACTTCCTTTTTGAAGATTAAAGAAGTTTTTTGCAAGAACAAACCAAAAATGATAATTAGCTAAAACAGAAATCTGAATTTGTGCCAATATCCTATTGTTCTATGCTTATAAAATAAGAAAAAGAAAAATATTTTAAAAGAATTTAAGAAGACATGGAAAGAAAGGAGCACAGAACAACATAATATTTTTAGATATTGCTTGACTGGAAAAATTGCAAGTTATTCAGTCCCAGAGTCTTCCTTAAAAATATCTGAAGTGAGCTGACCCATTTTCACGCTTACAAAAATGGGTATAATTTATGAAGACTAGATGTCTTTATTCCCTGCTGCCTACAGGAATAAACCTGCACTATCAACAGCTCATAGTATTCATCTCTGACACTTCCAGATGAAAACATATGACTTCTCTCCTCATTTCCCAAAAGCCTTCTTTATTAAGCTTTATTTATTAGTCCAAATCACTCTTAATTAACCCTTAAAGGACCACAGTAATTACACTTCCAGAAAAAAAAGCAGCAAACATATTTACATCTAAAGATCTACATCTTTTTTGCATCACATACAGTATGCTTCTGTGGAGAGACTGAGACCAACTCCACAATGATGAATGAATGCAAGTTACAAGCCAGCTATTACAGGGTATGTATCAATGAAGTATCAAATGAGCAAGATTCCAAGAAAATACATCTGTCTCGTGTTTCAGTGTAACTCTAGGCAGCAGATGACAATAGTTCAGAAAAGGTCACTTCTGTAGAAAATTATATATAGTTTTGATCCTGAATTACATTTAAACAGTTTAAATTCCTAACCTTTACTAAATAGCTTGTTGTCTGTACTGCGTCAGCTGGCAGCAGCTGGATCCTATAATCCATTGAAACTCTTCTGGTCTTAGGAACTTGGGGAGTTCATTCTTTTGCTAGCTTTTAGATCCATATTAGATGTCTGCTGCTAGCTGTCATTCTACAAGTAATCTACAGGTAAGCACTTTTACACCAGCTTTCAATCAGGCAGTTCAGTATCATCATCACGAGACTGAACTGTTATCTCTCCACCAGATCAGACCGATCAGTGGCAATTATGTCACACTGGGGCAGGAATCTGGTCACTGCTGTCATTCTCCTGTGTACACTGCGTGAGCTCAGCTGTATGAGCACTTCCGCTGACATTATTGTAATGAGCCAAGACTCTCCCCACCCCAGAATGCAGTGGGACAGGCCTCACTGGTACACGCTCACTGGGCACAAGCCCCTGAAGCCCAGTTAAGTGAGAGGAGAGTGCAGTGGCACGTGCCGTTTCTGACCTGACGGTGCTGGAGAGCTCAGCCGCCTGCCGCGCTCTGTCTCCGCCCTCCTCGCAGGCCTCCTGCAGTTTGTCCTCTCTCTCCTTCAGCTCCCGAGCCGCGCCGGCCTTCTGCCTCTCCAGCTCCTGCTCCAGCACGGAGACCTGCGCCACAGGACATGCCATCACTCCCGGCCTCGGGGGGCAGGGCACGCCGCGCCGGCCTGGGGAGAATGTGTTCTTGCCGGAGCCTCTTGACAGATCTTTAACAGGTTCAGCATCTACACTGACAGGAACGAAGCCCTCTGCCTGCAGAGCTACCCAACAAACAGCTGTCCATCCCTTCAAAGGTGGAACAGAAGGGCTGATGGAACTCAATCAGGTGTCAGGCTGTTGATTGGCAAACGTGAAACCACACTGTTAACCTGGTGGACTTCAGGAAATCAGGACTTCCAGACAGTAACAAGTATTGGTCAGGATCCTAGCCTGATCACAGTGGACATTGGAGAGGAGCAGCAGCTGTTCTTTTGTCATCAGTTACCCCTCACTGGTATCCACAGTAACTTACCCTTTCCTGGTAAGGCTCTGATATACCAGACAGACGTCCTGGACCGTCACACTTAACCCTGCCTCAGGACACATTCTAGTGCAGAATTCTGGCACATAACCGTCAGACACACAGCACCTCCCCAGGCAACGTGACGAGCCTACATCAGCTACAGCTAGCAGGACGTTCCCAAAGACGGAGCCTTTTCAATAACACATCTACAGACCAGCACGACCAGCAGGCCAAGGCGTCAGCTACTTTATTCTGGGGTAACATATTTCACCGCCCCACTCGCGATTCATTAGGATCCTGCAGTACACGTGCACCTTCTGAGCCCTGTCCACACTCACCCCTTCACTGTCTCTACACTCAAACTGAGTCAGACTAACAGGACTCCCCTGCACCCCTTCGGCGCCCCGACTCCGGTGCACGAGCAACTGCCTGGCGGGGTTTCATTCTCGATACTAAACTGCCTTTTCACACCTCACACACTTCTAAACTGAGATCGACCATTTTAAAAACAACCGATAAGGGCAATATTTGTATTTATTTACGCGTGAAGTTGCGATTGAATAACTTTAATCAAACGGCTGAAGCTTATCTTTCTGCCCTAGCCTGCCACAGTGGGAGGGGCAGCCATGCGCTGGGTTTTAGTTACTTAGGGTGGATTCAGTTTCAGGCTGTGACACTAAAGGCAACGCCAGCCTGGCAAATTGAGCAAACTGGTTCTGCAGTCTACAGGGTGTAAAACCTGCTGAGGCACACTTAAAGTCGGAACAATTTAGCAAAGAGTCTGGTGTGCACATTTATTTTTAATCCAGTCAAATTCTTTGCAAAGCTAGCCAGTGTCACAGTGACGAAACTAAATGCCCACAGAGGTCCGAGTCCTGTCAGATGGTAAAAAATCTCTCAAAGGAAGGTATGAAGGTGCCTGTTCTGCTATCTACTAACACCCCGCTGGCAAGCGTGCCTGGCTGCCTGTCCGACAGCACTCGTGGAGCCCTGATCCAATCACAAACCGCCTACAGCCACGTAGCAAACCCCCAGGTGACAGTGCTTCCATTTCCACGTCATGTCATGAAGTATAAATACTGCTGGAGATCCAGGAAAACACAGGTGAAGCGGAGAGCAAGTAAATCATCGAAAAACACAAAGACATAAATAAGAAAAGAGAAACGAAGTGTACACTGGACCGAGAAGCCACAGCTTTAACTAGTGTGCCTGTCACGAGCTCGCCTGGAGAACAACACAGGCAACATCTCTGCCTCAAGAACAGAGGCTGCCAGCTACCTCAGGGTGGAGGCAGGAATGGAGATGTGCAGAGAGCACAGGGTTTGCCTGTTGCACCAGGGGTCTCCACTGGCTCATTCCAGCTCGATCCCGGGCCGTCGGTACCCGTCTCTGCAGCTGGGCCGGTGCCGCCGGTACCTGTCTCTGCAGCTGGGCCTGGCTGTCCTCCAGCTCAGCGATCCGGGCCGTGCTCTGCTGCAGCATGTCCTGCTGCTGGTGCAGGCTGTGCTGGAGCTGCAGGTTGCCCTGGGCAGCCTCCTGCACGGTCAGTGTGCTGCGTCTCGCCTCGGCCTGCAGGGCTTCCACCTGCCCCACATGGACAGAAGCTCCTTCAGTTCAGTGTACAGAGGGGTTCTCATTCACGCTGCTAGAGCGAGGCGTCTGTGCAACACCAAAAGCAAAGCAGGGCCCCTATACTATAATGAAAATCATTGCTTGCATTTGTATAACTTTCCGTATGGAAAGGGGTTACCTCCTTGGACTTCATCTCCAGCTGCTTTTCGTACAGTTCCTTGCTCTCCTCTACCTTCCGCAGACAGAAGGCTAACTCTTCCTTGCAGGTCGAAAGTGCCGATTCTAGAAGTTTTACCTGCAAAGAGAAAGTAATAACCTTTCCTGGGATTTCAAAGTACAGTAAGAGAACATAAGAACAAGAAATACAAAGGGCTTGGACTCAGAAGGGAATTGCCTGGAGCATATTCAATGGCAACCCTAAAAATAGCAGGATAAAAATATGTGCAGAAGATGCTTTCTGAAAGGGTGATTGAGTCTATTTCTGGCATAAAAACCAGGAAGAAAACATTTTCTAGATAAATCACAATCTATAAATGGAAACTCCCCAACTGCAGTCCTGAAGGGGTGATAACCGGCACATTCAATGATTAAATCATCAAATTCTAAAGACATGGAATAATTTAACTGAGATGAGTTATGTGGGTGTTGTATGAAATCGAGTAATTGAGAGATCACCTGCAAAAGAAGTGTAAATACTCTTCAATTCTCAAAGACAATAACTCTCCTAATTAAGCAAATTATCTGCATAAATGATCATTAAATTTCATGTACGGTCTGGGGTTTTTCTGGATTAAATTTCAGTTCTTCAAACCTAAGAGGTCAATACTGCCTCTTCTAAAGCCACGTAACAAATCTCCATTAGCCATCGAATTCCCACTACTTAAGTGCACAAACGTGTAGATTAAGATTACTATGGCTACAGACAATCAATCTCATCTTCATTTTATTAAGTAGTATCAATGTGCTAACAAATCAAAGTGATCACACAAGCTTTGCTTTGTTTAAATAGATTAAAAACACTGAAGTGGGAAAACAACTGTAGTAATATTGTTTAGCTGCAATAAGCCTACATAAAAATAGCTCAAAGCCAAAAAATAACAGGCAATTCGCAAGGAGCATGTAGCATGACCCACACACGCCTGGCCTGAGCAACAGCGACTCATGCTCTGCTCACTGTTGTGTGGCAGGACTGTCACCTTAACCCCATGGTCTTGAATGACAGCACCCAGCACTCCTGTAGGTTCTTCCTGTCCCAGAGGACTTCCTGTGATTTCCCTCCTAAAGATTGGCCACAAAGGAACATACCTGGGTGGATGAGCCTGCAGCCTGCTCACTCAAAGTTCTCAGGGTCTCCTTGTTCCTGGTTTCGTTAACTTCCATTTCCTGCCAATCACAAGGTGGATTAATACTGGACGCATTGTCCAGCACTTAATACAAGACAAACGCATCAAAGACCTCCAATCTACGACAGGGGGCTCTTTTGTAAACTGAGATTTGGAAAACAAAATATTTTAAAAATGGTGGGAGTCAGCTCTAAAGTCGCGCCATAGTTCAACGTCAGTGCAGCACGTATTAATGCAAGGCCAGTGAAAAACCAGCCTGTTCCCATTAGCTGAACTCAGAGTCTGCAGGGCTTTCTGAGGAGGGTAGACGTGTTCGCATAAATCACAGAGAACGTGTCTCATCAGTCTTTTGTCTAAGAAAAGTTCAGTTACTGGAAAATGTGTGTTTCGTAGAATGTAAGCCAGATAAAAAAAAAGAACTAAAGAAATTGTGTTATATTTTAAACATTTTGCCAAATGTTTCTGCACTGTCCATTTCAACCAACACTGCACCATCCCTTTAAGTAATTTGTTTTTGAAGAACTATTGCAATGCTTTCATGTGACAAAGGAGTACAGGCTCTGCTACAGAGCTGAAAATGACAAAGCACTCTATACAAGGCAAGGGGGCCTGACTGACAGCACCTGGCCTCCTGCAGTAGTACCTGCTGGAGTTGAGCGAGAGCAGTCTGCAGACTGTCAGCTCTCTGCTGGGCGCTCCGTCTGTCCTGCTGCGCAGATGACACCCTCCTCTCCAGCTCCTTCATCTGCCCCTGCTGCTGCTCCAGATGACACCGGGACTGCCACACAAGGAAAACGCATCACATGCTTCACACTGCCGGCATGTGAGCGTCCGTTCACACAGTGTGCACACAACAGGCCCTCTGTACAGCTGGAACACGGGTGGCACAACAGAGCCTCCTTCAGAACACTAAGGAATGATAAATGGCCGAGACGGACGTTCGTCGGACAGTGCAGAGCACGTATCCAGTGTACAAGAAGAGGCAGTGGAGAGAGTCATGCAGGCCGGGATGTGCGAAGATGCGGGTCATGTACGAAAACACTGGTACATGCTTATCAAACGATGCGGCGTCCATCAGGACAGTGGGGGGAAACGAAAGCAGTCAGGGATGTGCAGATCAGGGCGATCGAGTGTGAAGAGGACAGGAAGAGGCAGAGGTGTCTGTTCTCTTCTATAGAAGTGATGTGTAGCCAAGCGGCGAGCTAGAGCAGAATTATCCTACTGGTATTAGAGTGAAAAACATACTGCGTGTTTCACAGCCCCTCCCTGCTCACACCTGCAATAACGAAGCTCTTACCAGCTCGATCTGGCTCTCCAGCTCTTTGCACTGTTCCACGTGAAGGCTTTTGGTCCGCTCAAGAGTCACCTGGAAATCCTTCTGCTTTCTATTCAAGGTGTTCTGCAGGCGCTGAAGACTGCTGTTCTTCTCCTTGAAGGAGGAAAAAAATGAAATGAGGCAGATTTCCTGATGCAGCGCCGCAACCAAACTCGATTTCTAGGACATCTGCCAACAATTTCAACTGGATGGAAAACATATAATTCAACTCGGATCACTGACTTTATCTTCAAACAAACAAAAACAAAAACTCTTTTCTGCAGGAAAAATACACAAGTACACGCAATGGAAATATCTTTATTTCTCCAATATCTTTATAGCAGAGTTAAATAATTGAATTACCAATAGGAGTATTCTATGGAGAGGCCTTGGTTTAAACACAAGTCAGCATTATCTATGCAGAAATTCTAGTATATAAAGTTGCACATTTACATTTGCAATTTAATGTCGGAGTGCAGAGAATCATTAGTATACCATTAAGATTGTGTTGAAGCCTATAACAATGTAGCTGTGTGGGGAAAAGAGTTACAATATCAGCAGCAAAGAATCTCCATCCTGCAGCGCCAAACGGTTAAAACAGAGTGGCGTTTGTTCGGACTGTCCGGCATCAAAGCAATATTCAAACCGTTGTACAAATCCAGTGAAAATTCTCTGACGGAAGCTGTGCTTGCAGTTCGGAGGAAGAGAAGGAACATACTCCATAAATCCGACACTTATTTAAATACCACCTACCAAGAAGTCGTTTTTGAGTTTTCTCATTAATGTGACATGAGAGAATTGGAAAGGTTACAAACAACGGGGCTGTTCAGACAGCCTAGCAGGTTTGGTTGCTAGGAGCTCATTGATCGGAGGATTTCAGACAGCCACTTCTTGAGAGAAGCCAGGGTTCGAGTTCAAGGTCAGTGGGGAGTCTGTTCCTTACTCCCATCTTTATGCAGTAAAGTGCTTCCTATTCTCAGTTTTAAATGCACAGGAAGAAATATACAGATATCTATTTTTATTCATTCACACTAGAAAGAAAAGTAGGGTCTTTCTAAACTTCATAAGACTGAAAGTTTTGCAAACCCCTCAGGACTTCAGGAATCCCAAAGCAGAAAAATATGTCTGAGCCACGGTCTTTACTGCTTACCATCGGGGCACACAATTTCATTGTGCAAGAAAAGAATTCCAACACCACTCTCAAATTCTGGCTCTTCGTTGACAAACCTCAAGCCTGGTTCACGGACTCAAGACAAGAAGAAAATCCAAACCAAAGCACACATGCAGGAGTCATGCTGACAACACAACTCCCAGCAACACCGACTTACTACAGTCAAAACTCGACTGTTGATTTGCACCTCCACCTGCAAACACTGACGCTGTTGATATTTCTGCGGATGCTGTGCTAGACTGTACACATCTGCTGACAAGAGGAAATTCTCACGTGCCCTGAAAATAGATGTGGTTTCTGAAATCTGGCTCAATCGTGGACTCGGGGAACAGAAGCCAGAGGCTACACCGCGGTGCTCAGAGCGAGCTCAGGTTCCAGGCGCTCCCCTCACCAGCAGGTCCTGCTCCAGCTCCGTGTTCCTCACCGCGGCAGTGGAGTAGGCCGAGGTCTTCTCCTCGATCTGCCTCTGCAGCGCGGCCAGCCGAGAACTCTTCCTCTTCAGCTGCGTTTCAGCACATGCGACAGCAGGAAGACACAGCTGCACTCAGTCAAGGACTCAGAACACTCAGACTTGGGCTCTCAAATCAGTCCTGTCACTTGATCGTCACAGGCCTCACTTCTGTCACGTATAAGAACACTTAAAAATTCTCTCTGAACAAGAAGATATGGTTTACCCCAAAACTCCACAGTGGCCTCTATGAATATAGCATACAAATAGCTCTTAAGCTTTGTATTCCACTGTAATCATAAGAC